CTAGTTGAGTTTTTACCAAAAAGTTCTATTTTGGTTTCATCTGACCACGTGATATTTTCCCAATCCTCTTCTGGATCATCCATATGCTCTCTGGAATACTTCAGACGGGCCTGGATATGTACTGGCTTAAGCAGAGGGACACGTCCGGCACTGCAGGATTTGAGTCTCTCTCGGTGTAGTGTGTTACTTATGGTAGCCTTTGTTTCTTTGGTCCCAGCTCTCTGCAGGTTATTCATCAGGTCTCTCCATGTAGTTCTGGGATTTTTGCACACCGTTCTCATGATCATTTTGACTCCACGGGATGAGATCTTGCGTGGAGCCCCAGATCGAGGGAGATTATCAATGGTCTTGTATGTCTTAGATTCTGCATACAGATCGCTTTGATTAACGGGTTCAAACAAGTATCATTAATACAGGTAAAAAGTGGAGGACAGAAGAGTTTCTTAAAGAGCCAGAAATCTTGCTGGTTTGTGGGTGACCAAATACTTATTTTTCACCATAATTTACAAATCAATTCTTTAAAAATCCTACAATGTGATTTCCTGGATCCCCCCCCCCCCTAATTTTGTCTCTCATAGATGAAGTGTACCTATGATGAAAATTACAGACCTCTCTCATCATTCTAAGTTGGAGAACTTGCACAATCAGTGGCTGACTAAATACTTTTTGGCCCCACTTTACAAATCAAAGTGAAAATGTTGCACTAAAAGCTGAGTGTATCTTTAGTATCTTTGTTTAGTAGGCCACTAGGCCTATCTGTTGTTTGTTTGCTAGTTAGACAAATAGATAATATCACTACTGTTCTTCCACTGTTATGGTGAAAATGTGCTTTTAAACTAGATAAATTACATATATTTACAGCAAAAAGATCTAATTTCTATTGTGAGTGAGTATTGAAGAGTTTATAAAAATGACCTTAAGTTGGTCTATATCAAACTGCGGATGGAAACTTGTTTGTGACACTGTGGCTTCTGCCTAAATGTCAAACGGCAATGAGTTTGTTTTGATATAGGCTGATAAAAATGAAGCGTTTGCCACTTTTGGCATTTGGTGACACTGAATGTGCTTTCCTTCTCAGAATATTAGAGTCTGTGCAAACATTCAATTCAACAACTCTGAAAGGCTTTTTACAGTGTCATTGAGCAAGAGCATCAACATTCAGTCAGTTAATTAAGTGCAAGATGTGTAACTTTCTGAAAAGGAAAGAGTAGATACTATGCAGACATGATGTCCAGATTTACAGAGGGAAAGTGTTTAACGTACAATGACAGCGAAGGCCTTCTATGGCATTGAATGAGCCCGAGGACCACAATACATAACACATCCATCAAAATAATCCCAGACATGGCAGGAGTGAGAAACAAAACATTAGGAGATGATCGCTTAGATTTATTTATCTAAGTTAAATTTTTATTTGTGATTCTCTCATATTTTGGCAGATGCTACTATCTGAAACCAGTTCAAAGTCCGTTTTATTAGGATGTCCCTTGGGAATTGAAGCCATAATCTTGGGTTTCTATAGTTGCTAGCCGAGTAACAGAAATAATATGGGCTAATTTATGTACTTTTTTCATCATCCAGGTGGATGCTCCACATTGGTGATGGTTAAGGAGATTCCCCCTTCCATGTAAATGTAAGGGGGATGTAAGTGCAGAGAAAAGCACTATATAAATGTAACGAATTATTATTATGATTTTCAAATTAGTATTTAGAAATCATCTATGCTTGTCAGGCATATTTTCAAAACAATTTGCAAAGGTCATCACTTCGAGTTCACCCACTGTTATAGAAATTAACAACATGTGAGTAGGCATATGAAAAAAAGGGCCTTGGCACATAGTGGTTAAGCCTGTTGAGCTTGTTATTTTAACGCATGAAGTGCTGCCAGGTTATTAAAGCTGCACGCCTGTGATATTTGCTCAACTCAATCTACATTGAAGTCGCTAAATGCAAACAAAATATAAACAATTCCAATTAAAACGCTGAACAGCCTACTTTGTAAACAATGAAGGAGAAACATATCAATGCTATGGATGCTATGGATGGATTATGGTTTTTACTGTTATATTTTTAGTTCCCCACTACAGCAAACATTTCATCAGAAAAAACCTACAAGAGCCACCTGATACAGATCTGCATAGCCGCTAATGTCATGTTTTGTGTCACATACAATCCTTTTCAATTGGCAACATGGTGAACAGATATGATTTCACAATAAGAAGCAAGTACAGACAAACAGACACCCACACAGACATACCATAATGATGAACCAGCATGAGCTCTACAGCTAAAGATCGAACACACAGCACTTTGTGTTAATGGTGGAAATATGCAGATTTCAATCAAAAGTATTCTAATGCCTCAGACTCAGTTATGGGGTCAAATGAAGATAACATGTATCGAAAGCTTCATTGGGAACTCAAGAACAGATTAAATAAGGATCTCATACCGTAACAACACAACAGTTCCTCATTACTAGTCTCATGTTCTCATGACATGTTTCCAATAGTCTTCTTTTATTTAGTTTAAGAAGAGATGTATAAAAATAAGTCCAAAATCATAAAAATTAGTCCAAAATTAAGCTTATTTCTATTTACCTTATATATCTTATATTGAAGACCGGGACTAGTTGTCACATAGTGAAGTTGTCACAAAAGTGTCTCTCAACATTACACAAATGTTGCCCTAGAAGTGGTTTTGTGGGTTACAAACTCCCATTTCAATAAGCTCAAAGTCTTAGTTTGAAAATAACTATATATATATATATATATATATATATATAAAATAACTATATATAGTTATTTTTAATTACCATATATATATATATATATATATATATATATATATATATATATTATAATTACAATAATAGTTTGCCAAGACAATGATTTTTGTTATTGTTTTGCTGCATTAATTATCTTAGATGTAAGCATGAAAACTTGCCCCTTGTAATCTGATAACATGATAAGATGATAACAAGAGGCTGTCACAAAAGATCAGCATCTGTCTAAAGAACTGTATTCTGTAAAAAACTGTAAAGAACTCCAGGCCGAAATTTACTTTAAAATATACATTATTCTGATAAATATTCACAGTAAAATGTGTGACAACTATAAAACCTACTGTCAAATAACCTTGCAGCAATCTACACTCCTGAAGGACATTTCAGTGATCAGCTCTTTAAAAAAATAAAAAATAAATAATCTAAAAAAAACTTTTTTTCCACTACAAAGAACCTTTTGTGCAATGGTAAGTTTCCATTTGTGTTACAGGTTCTTTATGGAACCCTAGGCAAGATGCCAATAAAGAAACTTTATTTTTGTAAGTGCCTCCGCACGTAAATCACTATAACCTACCTCTCCTGAGTCTAGCGAGTCCCCGAAATGTTCCAGAGTCACGATGCCTTTGCTTTTGGTCTCGTTGTCGCTGAGAATGTCATCCTCCGACTCGTCGAACGCCGTTGAGGAGCCGTTGGAAGAGATGGAGGAGTTGGAGAGTTTGCGGCGCAGCCGTCCGTTCACCTCCTCCTCCAGATCCTCCTCGGTGATCTCCCGTGAGTCCCCATCAGACGTGATAGTCACCTGCGGCACCAGGCACCCTCTCCCCGTCTTACCGTCGCAGAGAAATCCTCCTTGCCCAGTGTTCTGTTCCGCCATCTGTGCTTGATCATCACAAATCTCTGTGGATGAAAAGTTATGTGCGCGTCCTCCTCCTCCTCCTCTCCCTGATCCGTCGCTAACAGGAGACGAACGGGAGAACACCGCCTCTCGCAGCGACCTCCGCCTCTGTTTGGGCATCGAGGTGACAGGAGGGTTCAGATTAACCCCCCTCTGGTCGAGGGGCCACACGCTGCTAGTGAGTGGGGGCCCCCAAAAAGAAATCCTGCGTACCGCCGCGGAAAGTAATCAGTCGGTTCAGTCCAGATAAGCTACTTTATTTCCAGTAAGTTACGTAACAAACGATCTCCCTCCGGATAACTTTGTTTGGCTTGGTGTGAGTCTGTGGACGTGCATTCACAGCCACGGAGACCCTGTTGACAGCGCTCGAGCTCTGTGAACACACATCTTCCGCATTTGAAACGTTTCAGCGCTCTTCCTGGCTTTTAATTTGTTCGGCTTTTGCTTGATAGCCCATTTCCTCGTTCTTTGTAGTATTCTACTGCTGCTACTGTATCAATCTCATAGGCTATGTTACATGCAATACTGACAATATTATAAAGCATTGTCTATCCCAATACAAATCATTTTGATTAGGCTATTTCTCAGATTTATGTTAAATTATATTAAGAAAATGGATAAATAAAGTCTTTAAAGCTTAATAGCCTTATAATATACTATAATAGGCTATTACTATAATCTAAATATATTACTATATATTTATTCGGCTAATCCATAGGCTATATAAAAAGTTTTGTGTTTGTCAAAACTTTATAGCTGAAAGTAGCATTTGGATGACTGTATATTTTAAAAATGCTTAATTGTTGATGTATTATATAGGCTAATGAAAACCTATTGGGGCTGGCTATTAAATCTTACTGTCACATAATGACTTTTTAATTATGGTGTCATAACACAAAACACATAGGCCTGTGACAAAAAACAATAATTAAATAAACATGAACTATAATTCCAATGTACATAACTGATAACTAAAAAATAAAACAAACTTATTTTTTAAATTAAAATCCAGAGAAATTTGATGATTCACAAAATTCTATAAAAGGCTCGTTAATCTTAAATTCTAATAAATGCCAACGTTTTACTTCTGAAAGCAGGCTAAGTATAAGTATAATAAGTAGGCTGCCTATAGGCCTGCATATTGATACGGAAAATCTCCACAAATTAGAAGGTAATTCATGATTTTCACTTCTATACAACATTTTAAAAATAAAATCACATGTAGGCGCATGTTTTTAAAATATATAACTTTTAGACGTTTTTTACTGTAGTTTGTACTTCATCGCTGTAGGGGGCAGTAAAGCTCTAGTGGCAGATAGAGGTCACGTTAAACAACAGAACAGAAGGAGAACGCAATTCTTTCAAGTGCAGTTTATGCAAGTTTAGGATTGCCCTCCTGCGCTTTTCACCCGTCCAAGTGCAGTTAAGCGTTTTCCCTTTTTGTTCTGTCTACATCCTGCAGTCACTACAAAATGTTTGCAGTCAGAAGAGCATTGCGTCTTTGTCAAAGAGTGACCAATGTCAGTGTTTCGCGGCGCGGCTGCGTTGGAGCTGTACCAGTGGACGACATTGTGAACGGTCTGACCGAGGAGCAGATCCAGGTATCCCACACACCCCCGCTACCTAACCGAGAGCCTAAGCTCGTGAAATGTCACTGTTTCTTGTTTACGTCTTATTGGAATTTTTGTAGGAATGAGTCAGTTTGCCGTGCTGGTTCACATGATGACCTTTGACACAACTCTGGGATTTTATCGGGATTTTATAAGAGATTGTATTCGTTTTAGTCGCCAGGCAACTAAAACGAATACAATCTGTTACGGTTTTCATAAGAACGTTACGTCAGTATTCGTGCTGTCTGTGCCAAATGACCGTGCTCGTGCTGGTAGGTGTGAACGGTCAGCGCGTTTTGATTGGTCAAGATCGTTTTAGATGTCCTTAGTTAGTTTTTACAGCAGCCCACTTGTTTGTTATTCAACATGCATTTGCAAATTGTTTGGACATGGTAGTTTCATTGTGAGGAAGTGGCAAATGTTCCTCTTAGTGTAATATAAATTCACGATCCATCTATTTTATTGTATATATGGTTTTCGAGTTAAATCCATGAAATAGAATTTTCTTTACACTGCATTTTGTCTGTACTGTATATTTGTGGAAGATGCAGTACAAAGTCACACATTTATAATGTGACAACAATAGTTTCTGTTTTAAATAGATGCTGTTATTTCTTATCTTTCTATTAATTGAAGAATCCTGTCAAAATACTAATCAGTTCAACTGTTTTCAACATTGATAATAACAATAATTTTTTCCTGAGCACCAAATCTGCATAATAGAATGATTTCTGAAGGGTCATGTGACAACTGGAGTAATGACATCACAGGAGTATAAGGGAAGAAAATACATTTAACCCTCTGGTACTGTTTGCGTGTAGATCAAAAATGACCAATTTCTATTTTATTTCAATGAAATTATTCTACTATATTTTAGTTCGATGATATATTTTTATTTATTATTCTGTATTTGTAGGGGATTTTATGGTACTAAATTGTTTATCTATAATCCATCTATTAACTTTTTGAGTTATTTAGCATGGACTTGAAAAATAATTTTCCAACTTAAACTGTCATAAATCATAAATGCTTTGGAGCACAGACTTAAGTTTGGTCTCTTGTAAAAGACGTAACTTGGTAGATTATTGTTTAAAAAAAAAAGAAGTGACCTTTCATAATTTTTTGTGTGTGTGTTTGACACAGAGTACCGTTCCAATGAAGTAAAGAATTCTGAAAACAGCATAGGGTTAAAAAAAAAACTTTAAATTATTTTCTATTATAGTGCTATAAACATATAGTTATATATATATATATATATAATTTATTATAATGTTTTTTTGACATTAATTTATGTCTTTAATTTATAACTGTTTTTGTCTTTTGTTCATTGTTATTAAAATTAACTTGATTCTTAAAGGCATTGGGGAGCTGTTGGGTAGGATTACATACAAAAATAAATGTATACATTTGATATTATATTTGTTTTATTGTTGTGCTGCTGTTATTAGGCTCTCCCATGCCATCTTTTACCCTGACAAGGGTAAAACCATGGTTTGTTGGTCTCTATAATGCCTTGATAGTTTTTAAAGCACCATGAAATGTGTACATTCATTGGATTTTTTGTTGTTGAGATTTTTGGCAGCTCAAGTTGCTTGTGGACACACCCCCTTGCGTTTATCACACGTTTCTTTTAAACACCAGCTCAGACAGACAGTCCAAAGATTCTGCCAGGAGAAGCTCGCTCCACACGCTGATGAGATTGACAAGAACAACGAGTTTCCCCGCATGAGGGTGAGTTCCTATACATGACAAGTATCTCAGGAGTCTCTGTGTAATAATAAACCAGAGTAATGAATCAGAACAAATATGATCTTTTATAGGAGTTTTGGAAGGAGATGGGTGATCTTGGACTGCTTGGAGTTACTGCTCCAGGTTGGACTATTTACAGACTGTCTTCAAAAAGTATTGTTTATGAGAAAACCGTTGCTGAGACACTATTGAGCATAGTCTGATATGATTCAATGGTTTTGATTGTGTGCAGTGGAGGACGGTGGAACGGGATTGGGCTACCTTGATCATGTGATTGTTATGGAGGAGATCTCCCGTGTGTCAGCAGCTATTGCCCTCAGCTATGGAGCGCACTCCAATTTGTGCGTAAATCAGATGGTTCGTCATGCAACCCAGAAACAGAAAGAGAAGTACATGTCCAAGGTGTGAGTCAAAAGATTTATATTAATGTGTCGATCGATTACATTTTCTTAGCTAGCTTTCTAAAACAGACCCATGACATAATGTATTAGGGAAAATTCATTAAAACTGTAAATGCAGGCTAATTAAGTAGTGCATTTAGGTTATTTATGAATATTAGGGTTGGGTTTTTCACTATGTTTGTTCTTCAGCTGATGACGGGGGAGCATGTGGGTGCTTTGGCCATGAGTGAGCCCAACGCTGGCTCTGATGTGGTGTCCATGAAACTGAAGGCGAAAAAACAAGGTGACTGGCCTTCTGTTATCACTCTATGTGCTGCTCTGTTAGTCACCACTGTCTACTGCTATAATAAGCACTGTTACATCAGTGCCATGGCCATGTCATAACTGGTTAGATGCATGCATGTAACAGTATATTTGTTAACCGATTTGTGATTTATTGTCCTTTCATATACACTACCATTCAAAATTTTTGGGTCAAATAAGACTTTTTTTATTATGCATTTAATTTATTAGAAGTGACCGTAAAAACTTTTACAAATTATTTCTATTCCAAATAAATGCTCTTTTGAATTTTCTATTCATCATCAAGATTCCTGAAAGGAAAAAAATCCACAAAACTATTTTAGTTTTTAATATTGATAATAAGAAAATGTTTCTGGAGGAGCAAATCAGCATATTAGAAGGATTTCTGAAGGTTCACGTGACTCTGAAGAGAAGACTTTAGTAATGATGCGGAAAACTCAGCTTTGTCATCACAGAAATAATTACATTTTAAAATAGATTAAAATACTTTAAAATAATAAACATTTAATACAAATTTTTTAATAATATTTCACAGTATTACACATAAAAATAAACACAAAACGAAGGTAAAAGCAGCTTCACATAAGACTGCCGCACACACATAACCAAAACATAATATAAATGTCCAGGCCTGGTCCGCTCTCGTCCTTCACTGTGTCGTCGCCCCTCCTTTTATGCTTCCAAAGCTCCTCCATGAGAGATACGAGACCGGAACAGGTGACGCTCAGTATCAATTACTCTACCGGCCTGCTCTATTCTCTCACGGCCCTGGGTCTCGTCTTGCTCGCCACAGCAATATATTGTGCTTTTTTTTTATTAGAGTTTGTATTTTATGTTTGTCATGCTTATTTATACTATTGCATGCTTTGGAAGGGCCTTTTAAAGAAATTTGTGACTGGCAAAACATCTATTATAATTAATGACGCATTAATGATTTATGTTGCTTGCAAAAATAATTTAAAAAAAGATGCGTCTTGCCCCTAGAATGTGACAATACATGTTCTTCTTTACCTTTTGATCTGTCATCTTTAAGGGGATCACTACGTGTTGAACGGTAATAAGTTCTGGATTACGAACGGACCAGATGCAGATGTTCTGATTGTGTATGCTAAGACAGACCCAGAGGCAGAAGCCCGTGGCATCACCGCTTTCATCATAGAGAAGGTTAGAGAAGACAAACCACTTCCTCTTAGATGATTGATTATAATTTACCGTTCACACTGCATTGCACCTGGCATTCAGATTTTGATTGAATGTTTCATTTTTAATGTGTTGTTCCATAAGGCTATACAACTTCAAATGTGATCATATCATAGGCATTGTGCTTGTGTTCTTGAAGGGCATGGCAGGATTTAGCACAGCGCAGAAGCTGGATAAACTGGGAATGAGAGGATCTAACACCTGTGAACTCATCTTTGAAGACTGCAAGGTCCCTGGTGTGTCAATGAGTTTATCATTATGCATATTAGTCTGAATGTGGTGGACATCCAAACGTCATTTGAATGTTCTCTTGTGGTTTCAGAGGAAAACATATTGGGCCCATTAAATAAAGGTGTATATGTTATGATGAGTGGGTTGGACCTAGAGAGACTTGTCCTGGCCTCTGGACCTGTTGGGTAATTGTTACTGTTTATTTCCAGTTAGCATGCTCAGAAATGTAAACTGACAAAGACTGTTGGAGAGTTATTTTTGTCCGTCTTATACATTCCTTCAGCATCATGCAAGCTGTGCTTGACCATGCGATTCCTTATCTTCATATTCGTGAAGCCTTTGGACAGAAAATTGGCCACTTCCAGGTATGCTTTAGACTGAAATATGCAAGGATTTGTGTGTTCGTCATGTTTTATGTTTATCTAGTCAAGTCATCTTCTACAGATTGTTGCAAGGCAGTTTTACAGTGATAACAGGAAATTAATGCAACAAAGATTGTTTTGATTGGACAGCAGCTCTCGAAGAAAGTCATTGTCCCATTTATGTAAGTTCAGCATTGATTCATTTCCTTTTTAAAAGTCATTAGCGCCATTTACTAAACACCGTTTTCAATTGAAAACAGAAATTTCATGAAAACATTTACATGACAACGGCGTTTCAGGGGTCTTAGAATGCAAACTTTGAAATGGGTTTTTGTAAAAACGGCCAGACTGACTAGGGCCAAATTGTGATGGCTAGACGACTGGGTCAGAGCATCTCCATAATTGCAGCTCTTCTGGGGTGTTCCCAGTCTGCAGTGGTCAGTATGCATCAAAAGTGGTCCAACGAAGGCTGGCTCGTGTGGACCGATCCATCAGACGAGCTACTGCAGCTCAAATTGCTCAAGAAGTTAATGCTGGTTCTGATAGAAAGGTGTCAGAATGCAAAGTTCATTGCAGTTTATTGCAGACCAGCCAGCGTGCCAATGCTGACCCCTGTCCACCGCCGAAAGCGACAACAGTGGGCACGTGAGCATCAGAACCGTACAACGGAGCAATGGAAGAAGGTGGTCTGATGAATCATGTTATCTTTTACATCATGTGGAAGGCCGGGTGCGTGTGCGTCGCTTACCTGGGGAAGACATTGCACAGGGTTTTCGCTGGCCATTAAAAGTCCTGAAATGGATTTTGCGAAAGAGTTAAGGGATAGTTCACTTTGAAATTCATTTTTGATATGTTTTAGCTTACCTCAAGGGCATCCAACATGCTGGTGTCTTTGTTTCCACAGTATTTTCAATTTTGATATTTTTAGGTCAGTCTTGTCAGTCATATAATGGAAGTTTATGGGGTCTCCCCTGGGTTCACCTCAAAGAGCATGCACAGAGAAGTCAAAATTAAACATCATTTAATGACTCGTAAATGTAAGTACACGGGCCTAAGACACGAAACGAGCGGTTTGTGTGAGAAAACGAACAGTTTTTATATAGTTTTACCTCGTTATCACAGTCATGTCCAAGTGATCTGAGGGCGAGGGCTCTTCAGTCTGCACAAGCGCGCCAGGAAGCCCCGGAAGTGATCCGGTGCTCATTGTTTACTCAGGGATTTCAGAAGTGTTATCCTTCACTCTGAAGATCTAAATATATTTAGATATGCAGGAAATTGCAATGGCAGACGATTTCGATATATCAACAGACAACATAGATTTTTTTTTTTTTGCAACCGTGCAAGAGATCACTTCTGGTGCTTTCCGGCGCATGTGCAGAATGAAGCGCTCATGCCTTCAGTTCACTTGGACATGGCTGTGATTACAAGAGGTAAAAACGATATAAATAGTGTTCGTTTTCTCACACAAACTGCTCGTTTCGTGTCTTAGGCCATCAATGTGTACTTACATTTACGTTCTTAAAACGAAACTTTGAAGACATTGTTGCAGCCCGTTATTGATAAAAATGATGAAGGACTTTGCAGCGTTTGTAAAAAAGCATTTAAGTTTGGGGACAATGGGAATCAGCACTGTAAAATCCCAGTGTGATGCCACAAATTGGCGTTAAGAATCACCAATATATATATGGATCATATGTCATTATATATATATATATATAAAATAAATTATGTGGTTAGTCATGGGTCATGTATGGCATTCAAAAAAATGATAAAGACATTCAGAAAGCCTGTTGCACCAGGATGCACTATTGGAAGAAGGCAGAGACAGTGTGACGAGCACAACAAAGAGTTTGAGGTGTTGACTTGACCTCCAAATTCCCCAGATCTCAATCCAATCGAGCATCTGTGGGATCTGCTGAACAAACAAGTCCGGTCCATGGAGGCCCAACCTCGTAACTTACAGGACTTAAAGGATCTGCTGCTAACATCTTTGTGCCAGAACACAATATTAGGAAGGTGGTCATAATGTTATGCCTGATCTCGATATATATATATATATATATATATATATATACACATATACATCTCTACAACGTCGGACACATAACGGTAATTGATATGATTAGACTTTGGCTTGACTACGTTATCAAACAGCTAATAATGTGTTTATAATGTTACACAGACGTCGTGTTCGTCATCTCGTCATCATGCCTTCTAAAAACCAGCATCCATAGATTACTTTAAACTTCATAGAAAGTCAGTGTAGAAGAGCTCTGTCCCATTGTAACTAAAGATTTGTGTTTTAAATAAATGCAATCCCAAACTTTTGAATGTATGCATGTAAAGTTATGAAAAGATATTACACAACTATGTTCCCTTGGCAATAAAATTAACAATTTCTTCCCATTGACTAGCTAATGCAGGGGAAAATGGCTGATATGTACACACGGCTTAGTTCATGTCGACAGTATTTATACAACGTTGCCCGCGCTTGTGACAAAGGCCATTTCAGTGCTAAGGTAAGAGCTCTTTACACAGTTTTTGTTATTTGAATGCTTTATTTTGTAATGTTACACATAAGCCTGGAAATGATGCATACAGTCTTTCCAGAGTGTGTAGTAGCAGTATTGATTTGTGATGTTATTGTAGGACTGTGCTGGGGTAATCCTTTATTGTGCTGAGAATGCGACTCAGGTTGCCTTGGATGGAATTCAATGCCTTGGTGAGTGCTTAGTAGTTAGCACAGCAAAAAAAAGAGCTCTCAATGTACCTTAGACAGATATCAGGGCCAAACCCTTCTGTCTTCATTCTTAACAATTACTCGGTGGATAAACAGCAAACAAGTCAAACTTGTAACTGTTGCTGTAGATGAATTGTTCCTTGAATGTATAGGCAAATTTGGTTTGCATATACCATTTTGATCATTAAAGGTGCAGTAAGCGATTTCTGAGAAACACTGTAGACATAAGGAGCTGATTAAGACGCACCCAACGTCAGTGAATGAATTCCTGCTAATTCAGTAAGCCTAGGTCTTATGACTCAAGTCCTAGTTGACTTACTTTTGCATCTGTTCACAGGTGGAAACGGTTACATTAATGACTACCCAATGGGCCGCTTCTTAAGAGATGCTAAACTTTATGAGATTGGAGCTGGTACCAGTGAGGTCAGAAGGATGATCATTGGCAGATCCTTCAATGCCATGTTCAAATAAGAGCAGCACTTGACGATGAGACAAAACGGTCATCATAACTGGCATCATAATTTTAACACTTTCATTCATGTGAAGCATACTTGCTAATCGGTTTCAAGAGCAGTGATAGAAAACTAAAATATGTCTTTTGGATGTCTAAAGCTGTTTATGTGATGTTCTCTTACAATAAATACAAGTGGTCTCGTATACAACAACACAAGCAGTAGGAATCATTCAAGTCATCATTCATCATTCAAAAGGTAAACCACCTAAACAATTATTTTGTCACAGAAGACTTTGTCATGTGACTCAGACGTTTCTGTAACACGTGGTACATGCAATCGACTTGTTTTTTGGTCAGTCTTTATAAGCTGGTTTGCATATCATCTCTACCCTATAACATGATTGTTTTTGCTCGTTTTCTTATGTGAATAAAATAAAGATTTCTTTATAGAGTATATTTATTGAAGTCGTTGTAATTCAAACACTCTTCCCATTCTTTTTGTATTTTCATTATGCACTTTTTTTATCGTACCGACCCATCAAATCTTTCGGTTTTCAGAATTCTGCCTTAATGATTAATCACTTGATGTGTTTGAAGTAAACTTACTTGTTGTATAATGATTGTTTTGAACTAACATAATCCTCTTTCCATCTATATCTTTTGAATTTCTGAATTATAAAAAAGCATTGCATACTCTTTGTATTTGTGGTGTTATTTCAGATTTTTTTTTCAGGGTTATTTTAGGAGTTATATTATTTACGTTTTAAGAAAAGCTTTAGCTATAACTAATTTTGTTTTATGTCAGACTTCTTTATAGCAGCTTACAGGCTATCACTTTAGTTCCAAAGTGCTGTACATTGCATTAAAAGCCAACAGAACAATAAGACAAAACATAAAAACATCCATGTACTAATGTTCTAAAATGCCAGAGTACAGATAAGAGTTAGTTGCCAAGGCAACATTTGCAATCATGTTGTTTTTCATGAAATATTAATATTTTATTTCATGTAGCGTAAACCATTTTTAATAGTTTTAGTTAAAAAAAAAACAATAATGTCATTTACAGTCTGTTATTTTCTACCTGAAATGGGAAAAAATGCCTTACAGAGCTGTTCACTTTTTCTACTCTCAGTACATTTATTTAATGGTTGAAATGGAAAATAATTAAGAACATTCACAAAAATAGTGATATTTAAATAGCCTATATGTTAACCATCAGGTGGATTCTTTGAGCAGCGGTTGTGGGAAATTACTGAACAATAACTCTTCATTGCAAATAGAATAATTTATTTTCTTTTAACTATAAATATATTTATTTCATATAATCAATTTAGTATGTAGCCTACTTCATCAATACAAACTTAATAATCGGTATACTTGTTAGAGTTTATTATTATCATCAGATCATAGATTAGTTTTTAAGTTTTGTAGATGCATTCATTTGCATTGATATTTTGTCACAACATTCCTCAATTGTTTACTTTAAAGTAACAAATTGGTCCCTTTCAAACCAAAAAGCAGTTACAAAAAGGTCATTACTGGAATTGTTTAAAGGGATTTTTAAAATAATGTATTCTGATACGTTCTGCTTGTCAGATGTAGTTGTAGGCAATACGATAAACTACAACTTGAGGGGAACTGACTTCATAAATAGGCTACTAAAATGATTATAAAGTCACTTTTTAAAAATTGTCTCAGAAAAGTAACATCATTTACTTGCAGCTTTCACTTTTCACATTTACTTGGGGTTCACATGTGCCAATAGCCCTTTAAGAAACTCCATGTTGTCCCAGCATGCCATACGTCAACACACTGGTCGTGTCACAAAACCTAGTGAGCTGCCTACATAGACCGCATAATGGACATTGTGGGCGCATTTCTCACCCATTATTATTGAGCATTATAGGTGCGTGCAACATGTTGAGAGACTCAGGGACGTGTTGTGTGTCAGTTCAGTTGACTGTGATGCCTAAAAATGTAGTCTAGGCAGGCAGATCACTATTTTTTGGGACACGGCCATTAACAACGGATGGTGGTGTTACGTAAACTCCATGGCAAATGTGTTTGTGTCAGTTCTGCATGAGTCTGCTCTATTCCAGGTGTTCTCCTCAGGATGACAGTACTATGAGCTTTCCATGTATCCAAGAAAGAAACAAAAGCGGACCAGCAGTGTGTTACCAACAAAGTATGTCATTTAAATCCACGACACTACTAAAGGTAAGAGAATCTCTACGTTTGAAAGGATACGGGAAGTTTGTAGACATAAGTCGGTTATCTTTTATTGGCGTCATGTCCACCTATATTACATTTCCTCTAAGCCCGTCACTCTCTGAAGTAATTAAGTGGTTTTTGGAAAGAATTCTTATCCATCATTTAGTTTCGTTATTCATAATGACAGGCATGTTATCCATCTACATAACATTCCTACGCGACGCGTCAACACTAGAATGCTCTCAATATAATCAAGTAATTTGTCCGAAAACTCGCGCTTGCTAGATTATAAAGGGAGCGTCCTAGATTGTCGCTCGCATTAAGAGAAGGCAAAGACTATGGTGTAGGTGATGAGTTGTTTGTCTAATCTTTTGTTTGTTAGTAACGCAATCACGGGTTCTTTGCACTGGTTGTTCCCTGTCGAAAACACTGGAACATCAACTTGAAACTGACATTTTTGCTCTGGTCACGTTGTCTGACTTTTATTCGAGTATAAAGGTCAATGGCCCGACAGAAAATAGAAGTTTAGAACATTTTGTTATTGTACTGACTGACACTTGTCCATTGCATTTGCTTCTTGTAGGCTACTGCATTTTATTGCTCCTTTAAGGGCCTTAATTAGGCTAATTCATTTTGAATGTCACCCACCAAAAAACAATTTGGCCTTTTTTCAAGAATATAGACTTTATACAAGTAGTTTTAATTAATACTTTTATATTATGATAATGAATAGGCTACATGTGTTGTGTTATGGATGAAGAATAGCACATTTAAAGGGTTAGTTTTAATTTTGTTATCAATTACTCACCCTGATGTTTTTTCAAACCTTAAGACTTTCGTTCTTCTTCGGAACACAAATGAAGATCTTTTCAATGAAATCTGGGAGCTTTCTGTTCTCTCCATTGACAGCTACACAACTACCAATTTGATGCTTCAAAAAGTTCATAGTTGAGCGATTTAGTTCACATTTTCTGAAGAGACACGATCGCTTTATATGATGAACAGATTAGGCTACATTTATGCTTTTATTCACATATGAGCATCCACCAACTCACACATCAGGTATGGTAAACAAAAGTTCAATAATTTTTGTTTGACGTGAGAACCAATGAGGTTCATTGTTACGCAGCACGTTTGAGCTTCCACAAGAACCAATGAGGTTCATTCTCGTGTTACGCAGCACATTTGAGCTTCCACAAGAACCAGTGATTGTAGTTCTCGTGCGTTACGCAGCATGTTTGAGCTTTCGCAAGAACTGATGAGGTTCATTCTCGTGTGTTACACAGCACATTTGAGCTTCCACTAGAACTGATGAGGTTCATTCTCGTGTGTTATGCAGCGCGTTTAATCTTCTGCAAGAACCGATGCGGTTCATTCTCGTGTTACACAGCACGTTTAAGCTTCCGCAAGTTATTCTCATGTGTTATGCAGCACGTTTGAGCATCAGCAAGAGGTTGGTTCTTCTGAGTTGAGCTTCTGCTTGTGTTTGCTGATCAATGATTAGCCTATGTGAATAAAAGCCTAAATTAAATCTGTTCATCATATAAAGCAATCAAGTCTCTTTCAAGAAAATTTGGACTAAATCGCTCATAATTCATATGAATTAGTTTTCTGATCTCTTTATGAACTTTTTAAAGCGTCAAAATGTCAGTTGCGTAGCTGTCAATGGAGGAACAGAAATCTCTCAGATTTCACCAAAATGATCTTTATAGGAGGATGGTTTGAATCTTATGGGTTTGGTACGACACGAGGGTGAGTAATTAATGACAGAATTAAAATTTTTGGGTGAACTAACCCTCCGATGTTTTGAGTGATTGATTTATAAATGTACCAATTTGAATAAAATCATTTTAAGTGTACTACAAATCAAGATAATGATGCATGTAAAATCTGCTTTAGTGGAATATTTATCTTCCACGTGACATTGTATGATTGTGTCACCATTTTGCTGTGCTGGGATGACAATAGTTGAAACTTTTGTTTCTGTCGATAAAGAGAGATACTGCTTTTTACCTGACCAGAGATGACATTACTATCTTTCAAGTGCTATCTACGTTTTTGTTTTCATCAAAAGATAATTGTAAGACACTTTGGTTTTGCTTATTGAAAAAAATGTTTAACCTAAAATTTACCTAAAAAATCTTTGACATGTCAATTGTCATTAGCTTTGTCAATTAAGTTACGTTAACACCCAGACTTTATATGCTATTGTTTGAAAAGGCATTATTTCAGGATTTTTTTTCTACTGGCCTGGCCGGGCCAGTGGTTCAAATTTGTACTTGCCCAGCCAAAATGTTCACTGGCCCCACAACAAAAAATTAAGTAAAAGAAAAAAGAAAATGGCAAGGAGGAGCTTTCCAGTTTTATGCCATTATTAACCAGAACCTACTTGCCATGTTTGAGGAGCAAGCGTATGTTCTGTTGTCCTATTTTATGATCCAATTATAGGATTTTTGAATGATGTTGGGTTCTGTAGTCTTCTGTTCAATGCGGCTTAATCCACATTCCTTCAGGCTGCCTTTTTAAGTGCCTGAATTCCATTTAAAAATTATTCTGTGATGATTGTTTTGTTTTTATGTTTCATTGGTTTTGTTTGACCTAAATGCCTTTATAAAAATGAAGAATGTTCTGTAAGTTGCAAATACAAGGCAATGTGCTCCAAAACAGTCAGCTAAAGGTGAAATGTTTTGACTAAACCGACAAGGTAAAATATAACCTAAGGTCTAAATGCTATTATCAGAAGAGGATATAAGTAGCGCTCGGGTCTGCTGAATATAAAGTGACAGTAATTATGGTATAACTTAGTTGAAGGCTTGAAGTTGAAACTTAAAAAGCAGTATGGATAAAAAAATGAAAAAGTTGTATTCCCTGTTTAGGGGTTCAGGGTGTATGTAGTGTACATATTCCTTGTAAATATTAGTAATGTTATATACTGTAGGAAGCAATGAGAGGCCTTAAAATCCTCATAAAGTTGAAATAACTGCAGGTGTTGCTAGCATTTTTATGTATTTTAATGTGTAGAGAACTAAATAAATAATGTGTAGGGAACTAAGTTGTATAAATAAAACAGATTATTGGAGTAAGTTTTATACCATTACAGTCTCTTTTTTTTCCCCAAAATAAATCATACACCTTTTTCAGTGGTTAAAGGTCATTTTTATAGTAATGCATATGGAAATTATTATAAAATGTAATGTTTACTCTGGTCATTTCATAAATTATTATGAAATCTTTGGTGTTATTATGAATCTATGGTTTCTAAAAAATAAACCTGGAAATTGAGGATAACGCAGGTATGATGTCATTGATACGGTGACGCGCGAACACAGTTCGTCTCCAGGATAAAAATTTCATTTGACAGTATATGAAATTATGAGTGATTTAAAGATGAATTTGTAGGCATTAAATGAATCTAAATAGAATTTTAATATATGTATCAAATATCGACAGTACTGCTAAAGATATATTATGATCATAAATGTCAT